AATTTTTAGACATATGAAACTATGAAAGCAAGAGTAAAATTCTTCAAAGTTCTTCAAAATGACAGAAAACCGCACGACTTGTTACTGAAATAAATGTGACCTACACCCTGTATACAAATAAAATAGAAAAGCAAAAGGTCGAGGTCATTTCTATAATGAAACAAGACAATGCCTTATGTTAATTGACGTTTGCAGTAACAAGCAAAATGCAATTTTAATGACCCACTGTTACTCCTTTCATTTGCACTGTGTATTTATTGTTCCAAGTTCATTCATCTTTTAGAATAATTGGAGCGCGTTTTAGGCGAAATCATTGAAGAATTGTTAACCTACACAAAGAAAAACAGCAGTTCTTGGGTTAAAATATTTCTAATAAAAGTATATGTAATTCCACCTCTTCGTTTCCAATTCAGTGTAATTAATTATTGTGCTTCGTCGTATATTCACAATTTAAAAGTCCATAATTCAACACAAACGTTAATCTTAATTTCCGCATAAATTCCGTGGCACTTTTAATTAACGCCTATACAGAAGCATCTGAGCAAATCTTTTTTTTTCTCGAACAAAAGATTCGACCATTGTTTTCATACAAGATTGTCTTTGTGTTTGTTGATTTAATTTTAAAAGTAGGTAATTTATTTCTTCTTTATTTGCATAATTCATTCGTTTAAAAGCCAATTATGGGCGCAGAGTGAAAAAATAATGCACTGCTGCTACGTATGCAAATGTTGTGTTATTTATTTTGTGTGCATGCATTTCAGAGAAAAAATATTTAATCATTGATAGATGAAATTGTGGTTGTGAAAGAAGAAGCGTGAGAATGTGAACAATATGCCGTCCAGATGATTAATCGAATTCTTCTTCAGGATTACTAAAACTGAAGTCAAATGTAGTAAAAACATGGAATAAAGATCTAACAAGTGATAATGAATTATTTCCGCATTTGCATATGAACAGTATTCCAGGAAGTTTCTAATTTTTCATATTCGTAACAAGTAAAACAATTTCACAACATTTTCTCATTTATAAATTCCTTCTAAATTACGAAAGTTTTATCATTTTGCCAATATAGAATACACACTTACACATTTTTTTTTTCCTATTTATTAATAAAATAGTCGTTGTTTTGATACGAATTTGTTAATCATTGTTGACTCATAAATTTTTACTTTGTAAGTTTTGAATTACTGGTGTGTCATAAGGTTTAACCACATGCTTAATCTTCTGTGTTTTTAATAATACAAACTTAACATTTACCGGAAAACAGTGCTATAGTAGTGCTAAATACCAAAATAGCAATAATAATTATATATGTAACATGTGCGTGGTAATCAGGGAAATGATAAGGTTTCAACAAACAGGATGTTCAATTTGAAAAAGCATTAGGCATCGAGATCTTGTACAAATATGCAATTACATCAGTAAAAAAAATGCTAAAAGCGATGCTGAACCCCACTGTAAATTTCCTACCTATAAGGTCGTTCGTGCTTTCGTTTTATTATGAATAGTGTTCCAATTATAAATTATGTGTTAAATAAATATAATCCTCAATGTAAGTAAATAATAATTATACAGGCTGTATTATCAAAAACGCCCCAAGACATAACTCCATTATTTTTAAATTATTTTTAAAGATATGACAATACTTCTTGGAACAAAGTTAAACAGTTTCTTGTCATCTATTGTTTGGGATCGATGCTTAATCTATGCTGCTTCCTGTTTCACCGGAAGTGACATTAATTTCAGATTTTTAAATGTAACACCCTGTATATTTTACAATTTTTTAATTTCTCAATAAATTGTCTTTTTTTCAAGCTCACTTCCTATTATTTATCACTAACTTTTGATTTTTGGCAATTTGAAAATTAAACTAAATTACGTAGACTGTGGAAAGAATAGAACATTTTTATTCATTTTATCTAAGACATGCAAACGTTTGATAACGAAAAACTTTGAGCGAAAAAGAATTACATACCAAGTGAATAAAAAGTATGGAACCAAACGTTTTTTGCTTAAACTATTTATTTTTTGAAAAAACTAATTGTTGAATGATAAAGTACTATAAAAATGTGATGATTTAACAAGAATAAAATTTTTCCTTTTGTTTTTGAGTTCTACAAAAAAAATATTTTTTTAAATGGCAACCCACTATAAAATCATTTTTCTCATAAAAGCTATACTCTAAGGATTACAACTATCTGCTTTATATTTAATTTTTTCAAAAAAAAATTTTCACGTAAATTGCAAATTTGACAAAAAAAAATCGCATAACTCAAAAACAAAACAAAATTTCGTTCTGAAAATACGATCACATTTTTTATATTACTTTAATTTATATTAATAATAATTATTTTCTGGAGGTAAATGATTAAAAATAAAACCGCTTGGTTCCATACTTTATATTCAGCCTGTATAACGTCTTTAATGGTAATGAAATTATGGATTGGGACGTTTTTTATAATACAGTCTGTATGTAGGTACCTACACACATCAAAAATTGTGCATATTAAGTCAAAAACTGTTGCTGTTTATCATCAAAAACATATCGTAATTTTTATTTATTTTATTATTTTTATTTATTTTTTAAATAGTTAATATTGAGGTTTGACGTTTATACTTATCAAAATCATATCAACTCATGCAACGAAGACTATCGTAACTCATTTTATACTCATTCAACTGAGAAATATATAGATACACTTATAAGATATTATACTAATTTTTATTTTATCTACGACCATTAAATAATACGTTTGTTATTTACGTAACTATATAGGTATATGTATTATGTTACTCATAATTTATATCCGTGACTTATAATAAGTCACGAGTGACTTACCATAAATAACAGATTTGTCATTATAATAAACATAAATTTTGTAAGTAAAAAGTGTTTTATTAAAAAAGTGTGATAAAACGTAATGGCTATAATTCATTCGAATGATTTACATATACTCACCGTTGTCTTTGTATAAACTTTATCCTTTTGAATTATAACCACTATTATGTGCTCGTTAAATAATATACTATTAACAAAAAAAATGCTTGTCTCTAAGTAAAAATATCTGTTTAGCTGCTACTCAATTCTTTTATAGTATTATAAATTAACTAACTGTTCACTCATGACGAAAAAAAAATTTTGTTTTTAGGTTTTCGTTGAATAAATTAAAGAAAAAAAATTTATCTTAAATTGAACCGAATACAAGGTGTGTCAGAACTCACTCCCCATAGAAAATTTTCAAGTAAGATAAGATACCAGGAACATGGAAAACATGTTTAAAAAATTCTATCTGTCAACAAAATTTGCCATTTATTTTTTGACATTTGACATTTTTATGTCTATTTAATACTGATGATTTTGTATATGTACTTTTATAATTATTTAGTAAAAGTACAAAAATTTTACCAATAAAAGCCACAAATAACATTAAACAGAGTTACAATTTAGGATACAGCTTTCTTGTTTCCTCTTCTAATAGTCTGTAGCAAAAATCTTGGAAAATTATTTTTCCAATAGAAATAAGTAGAGCCAAAGTGCTAAATTTAAACTCTCATAACTTCGAAATTTTTATAGATAGAATTTTTGAAACATTATTTCCATGTTCCTGGTATCTTACCTTACACGGCATTTTACTCTGGGGCCCGAGTTCTGGCGCACCTGTATTTTCATAATTTTGTAACAAAACTTAAACTCATTCACCAAGAAGATCTTAATAGTTATTTATTCGACGAGTTTGAGTGTAAATCGGACCGATTATCTCACCGAGTGGGTTATTAAACCACGAGTGTAACGAGTGTTTTATCATCCACGAGGTGGAATAAAGCGTCCGATTTACACTCAAACGAGTTGAATACAACATTTTATTCTTCGAATTAGACTCAATAAGGCTTAAACTTGCTTTAAATCTGTTAAAAATAATCTGACGTTTCGTATTGAGAAATGCTAAACAGTTGTCAAAACTTCCTCACATGGGAGAAAAACCGTAAATTTTAACAGTGTCGAAGAATAAAAAAATATTTAGATACCTACCATTATTATTAACTGCAATTTGCCATATTCTGAGTTCGTTGCATGGGTCAACATTTCTCAATAAACCATTGAGTTTTTATCAAAGAATGTGTTTTGTGGTTAAATAATGAAGAGCTCGATTTATGATTAGCTAACACCAGTTGTTGAATAAGTATTTTATTGAAAGAATTTAAAATCACTGTACTGTATTTTATCTTTACTCGTACATACTACATATCCGCAAGAACAAAGATTGTTTTAATTTGGTCAACCCTAACTCTGCTTTTTAATAGGTAACTAAACTGAAAAATCTAAATAATGTGGATTATGAAATCCATTTTCAAGTTAGTTACTCGCGTGGAGTTTCTCCCTCTACGGTTACTCGTCATTATACTAAAAATAATAAGTTGTTAAATAGTTTTTTTATTTTTATGAAAGAGATGTTTCATAAAATAAAAAAAGATGAAAAAATACAACACTGGTAGCAAGCTCTGCAAAATTTAAAGAAGAATAAGATTAAACAGTAACAAGGAGTTTATTCATTAAAAAAAAAACAAATAAAATAATAAATCATCATTCATAGTATCACTTTAAAGTTCTTTATATGTTTACAAAATTTCAAAATCTCAATAATGGTCATTTTTTTATTTTGTATATGTGATATACATACATATGTCCATATATTGTATGTTCTCACTTTGACATTTGATAATAATAATATAGACACTTAAATAAACTTGCAATATTGTATCTATCTTTACCATTAATATTTAAGAAAAGCTCAGCAAAACAGAAATTAAATAAAAGTATTTGAAACAATCATTTTACAAAATTTATTTAATTATTAGGATTAGTTTGCTAAAATCTTTTACAACAAGTCTTTAAATTATTATAAATTGTTGTAAACTTTTATTATTACGCTACAAAATTCTTTCTTTTTAAAATCATGCTCAATTTTGAATAAAAAAAATCGAAACGACATGAAACTTACGGAATCGAATTCATTAAACCACGAGGTTCGTGCTTTTCGTAAGTTGACGTTTTACACCAGTATACCTACGCCACCGACGCTTTTGAACTGATGTTAAAACGACGCGCGAATTTGCAAGGCGCTAATATTTTGCGCCGACGCTAACATGTGTCCGTCTGATAAAAACGTGATAAGTTACGTAATATTAATTTAAAATGATGTGGAATAATAGGCTAAATAAGTGGGAGGAACGAGGAAACTTTTGCTTAAGTTTCTGACAATTCTAATGACGTGAAGGTAGCAAACGTTGGCGAAAATAACAACAAACTTTCTTTGCACTGAACTGAAAAAAGCCAAATTTTAGACTTTAGTAGAAATAAAAGTAATAAAGTTTTAGTGCATTTTTTTCAGTTTGCTCACCGAATATTTAATGTTTAATATTACATCTTGTATTAAAGTTTTACAATTTTTTTTCTTTTGTTTTAAATAAGCATGCATACCTCAAGTAAAGTGTGACGTCATTTTATATAATAGATGAACAGAAAGTATGAAACCAAACGTTTTTGTTTAAATAAATAGTTATTTATTGATAAATAAACAAAAATTTAAGAAAATAAACGGAAAAACAATTTTTCAATTTTTTGTTTCTGAAATAAGAGAAATTGCTGGAAACGATGCTGAAAATCACCAGTATCAACCTTTAGAAAGTAAATTGTACTAGTCTATTTCAGCATCCGAATTGGTGAAATGATTCATTAAAGCATCGGTTTTGGAATCGAAATAAGCTTTCAAAAAAAAAATAGAAAAAAACTGATTTAAAAAATTTATTTTAAATAAGCATTTCAAATGTGCTACCAAATGTGATGTCATTTAAGTTGTAGATTTATTAGAACGTTTTTTACTAAGAAACTTACAAAATCCGAAACTTTTAATCAGAATAATTAAATAAAATCAAAGTGCAAATGCGTTATTTTCTATTTTCAAGAGAAACTTCAAAACAAGCAAGAAATACAAAATTAGATCTGGAGGTATATCATTTAATTTAAGAGTGTTTTTCTCCAAAAAACTCACAGAATTCGAATAATGGAGAAATATGTAGAAAATATGAGGAGGATTTATGAAGCACTATATATATGCAACCAATAATACAACAATGTTCCAATTTCCTTTTTAATTTTGACAGCATTTTGATTTTGACAGTGACAGTGAGAAGCATATTCTGACAGTCATCACAAAAACATATTTAAATTTGCAAATTCGTATATTTGAATTAAAGAAATTCATAATGGTATTTGGTGAAATTGTTGAACCATCAACCCGAGCGTTAATTGATGATGAATATGAAGAATATCGAGAATACATCAAGTAATTCGTCCTATTTGAAAAGTATGAAACAAATTGCTATTGATAACGATTTCAGGCCAGAATTAAAGTGGGAAGGAACATTTAAGGCACCTCCAGACCTTGACACGTTAATTTTCGTTGAAGGAAGCAAAATACTTAAATTATTTGATGCCTTGGTTTTAAACAAACGAGACCTTGTCTGCATGTTAAAAGTTGCTGGAATAGAAATATTTAATGGAAAAAATGGCAAATACATTGTCACTTACACCAAACAAGAAATAACAACTGGCGAAGTACGTTTGCAATTTTAATTTAGACTACAAATTTACAAAAAAGTTTTAGATCATCGAAGAACTTGTGGAATGGCTAAGAAAAGCCGCACATATTTATGCATTGACTTCAGAATCTGCTGCTTCTTACCAAAATTTACAAATGATAGAAAAACCAGAAACTCTAATAAGAAAACTTTCCACAGAAAGTAATTGTTTTCCAAATTACAAGAAACTGGAGTCGCCTAATTTAGTATCAGGTCTAGGGGCTGATGTTTTATCGTTTTCTATTCATACAGGATTAAAATCGACCTTATTTGTCGTATATATGGACAATTCGCCCCTTGATTCAATTAATACCAGCCCCATTATCCAGTTGATTAAACTTCTAGACTTGAACGTGAATTTGTCTTCTACAAATCTAAACCCAGTACCCAGTAATTTATATTTGTAAGCAATAAACAATAAATTTCAGTTCAAGTATATTTTATTCAATAAGTTAAAAAGTTAAAATTACAATAAGTTAGGTCCAAGTGTAAGTCTTGTTGTCACCACTGTACTTCAGACATTCAATGTTTGTAACGCAAACGTCTGTTTTGCAAAATTGTTGAAGAATCTTTTTACTTAAGCCACAATCAGATAAATTTTCCTTATCAAAAATAGAATTTCTTTTAGGGTCTTTATCTTCGTTACTTTTTAAAACTTTGCTAAACGGCAGTGTGGACGCCATATTAACGAATGTGGCGCTCATACTGTGTTCGGCTTGATTAATTGAAAATAAATTATGAATTGTGCTTGGCAAAATTGGTCCTGATATTTCCAATGAATGATAATAAGAATTGTCAACATGCACTTTACTCTCCCTGACTTTCAGGGCTTTTAGTGTTGCCCCATTGAACGCAACTGGTGCCAGAAGTGTCGGAGGAATCCCCGCCAGAGGTCCTGTTAAACTTGTAGCACTTTTACAATTAATTAAAAAATTATAAAGAGCGTGAACTTCCACTCCTTCAATTAAGACTAGACTCTGTTCACTGTTGTCCACTTCACATTCAGCTTTATGTACGATCTTTGCCTGTAAAAAAATATTTCAGTCAAAGTCAAATATTAGAAAAGAATTACTTGTGTGTAATTGATTTGTTTGATATCATCAGCGTTAATTCCCATACTTTGCAACCATTGTTCGTCTGGTGATTCCTCATCATCAGGGGCTACTTCTAATTCCCCCGTGGTAGAATCCCAGGTTTCGTATCCCTGATCTGAGGTTCGTTTCTTTTTCAGTGGCATTCGAAATTCAATATCTTCCTGTTTTAGCATCTGGCGGAATCCCCGAGTTGTGGGGGTAATTAACGCATGTATATCGCTAATTCCGCTAATACCTGCTGCCCGAAATAACACTGTAAAGCTATTAGAACACACATAAAAGTACGGACACTGTTTTGTTCTAATTAACTGAAATAAGGACTTTAAACTGTCTTTCCAAGCTTCTTGTAAGGCATTTTTCATTGCAACGTTTGTAACAATGCTAGAGTCGGACTCTGAAACTTTTCCAGAAGATCGCGGAAAGAGTGTGAGCCATGGAAGAGACGGCTGTTGCCAATAAAGACAACACTGATGAAACTTTGAGTTTGGAGAGATATCTAAGTTTGTGCCAGTGTTTTGATCCAAACATCTAACAAATCCTGTTGTTCCTGATGCTTCTTCACTTATTTTCAGTTTCTGGCTCCAGGAAAACTGCTGTTCTGACCATAAACGAATCTTAGTTTTCAAAGTCCAGTCAATGGGAATGTCATTCTCTCCTTGTGCTTTCACAACCACCACTTCGGCCTCGTTTTCTTTCCTTAAAATATTCTCAAATGAAGTCAAAGGAACGCTGGTGCAAGTAGTACTTGGTGTAGTTTGATGCAAGAGCTTGAATAACGTTTGATCAGTTGATTCATCAAAAATTGAAGGAACGTCCAGTTTGAATTTTTTGCTTTCATCGGTTTTCGCAAAAGGGTTTTTGCGTTTTTTAGCCGAAATGATGTCTTCCAAAGCTGCATTTTTGTTATCCTTAGAATCCGAAAGCGATGTCTTTAGAATGCCCCCCGCAATTCGCGCCTGAAGAGCTTTCTTCTTCATTTTCAGTTTGTGTAATTTCATGACTTCGGACGGGTGGTGCCATTTTTGGACCGGCTTTTCAGGACTTTTAGGCATTGCTTGGATTCCACAAATGGCACCAATTAATTCAGAAAACTCAAAAATTTCACGATATCAAACAGAGCTCATAACATAACCTCACTTTGTAGTGTCAACTGAGAATTGACATTGTTGACAGTTGGCGCTTTTCTGGTTCACCCGGAATTTTAATCAAGGATTTTCTAAAAAAACGGAACAAAAAATTCGAAACATGACTCAAATTTGCTCAAAACTCGCGTTCAGATATATAACAAATGTTTTATTGTTTATAACAACTTCATGCCATATAAATAAAAGTATTAATATCGTCGTCGTCTCTCCTCATATACTTGTGTTCAATCAGCCACTCCAGTTGCTCTTTAATCATCTTTTTCGAAGGAAGAAACATGTTTTTCAAAATATCTACCAACTCGGTTTGCAACGAAGCATTTGATATCCGTTTTCGCATCTTCAAAATTTTTATTATAGCTTCTTGTGTCCTGAGAATTCGTAATTGTACAATGGATTGGTTGTCTTCCATTTGGGACCTTTCAGTACTCAATTGTAACCGTCCTATTAAATTGACCTAAAAACATATAACTTAAAACAAGAAAATACATTTGTTTTTATTACTTTTCCCCTTTTTTGCGGTTTGCCATTTTTAATAAGTGCAAAGTCTTGATTCACCCAAAAAACTGTATGTTCGGTAAAGTCTTTAGGTGCGCTAACATTTGGCGAAAACAACAGCAACTGTCTTTTCAATTTTGGGAATGCTACCAACGACCACAACGTCCGTCTCAATTCACCATCTGGTAATTCAGTTGCTAAACGTAAATTTTCGTACGTTATTCTATCATGTGGTCGTTGATTCCATGCGAAAAGCACAGCCATTTGGAAAGTGGTTACGTCTAAATCGAATTTCCCGCCGTTAGTAGCAAATGTTATTGTTCCATTGCTCATATGATGGTACCTACGGTCACATTATTATTTCCCATTAAAGTGGCCTGTGACTTTAAAATTAAGTTGACAACATGATGCCAATGTCACCAACTTAATTTATAACTCTGATGGGAGATTTATTTTATACCATTGCAGCTTCCTTCCTGAGTGTTTCTTCTTGTAAAACTCTTCCACTTCGGGAATGTAATCTTCGAGTTCTACTGGCAGACTAACAGTGACACGTTCTGAGCCTCGAGCCCAAGCACCAGCATTAAGAATTTTAATATTAATAGCATCATGTCTTGCAGTGGACGTCCTAAACTGGCCGTTTAGATCTTCACTAACTTTAATATCTTGAAACATCCTAGCTAACTTATTTACGTAGTCGGCTGGCATTCCAACTTCTCGTAACCACTCAACCATATCTTCTTCTTTCTCACTATCAGCGCTACAAATCGAATTAAAAAAAAAATTGTTGATTTTTTGCAATTAAAATACCTTGCATCTAGTATAAGTCTTCTCGTTAAATGGGCCTTATGGTAACGCATAAAAACATCTTTATTAGATACATATTTGAGAACTAGCAAAACGTCTCTAAGCCGCGATTCAATTTCCTCACTGGTCAATCGTTTCGACAGTGGCGTCCGTCTCAGCAACATATCGCAATAATTGGCTAACAATTCCGGACATTTACTTTCCGGAGCTACCACTTTACCACCGGCATTTCGTCCCGTGTTCAACTCTAGTCTAAACACCGTCGTGTCATTAACCACAGCTTTGAATGCTTTATCTCTAGCGGTTAAAAATCTCGGATCGTCCGAAAACGCATCGTGCACCAATTTACTAAACCTCCGGAACAGCTCCAACAGTCTCTCGACATATTTTTCCGAATCTTGCGTAATGATATCGGCAGCTGCCACCATATCTGCTAAACCGGCTTGAGTTATATGATTCTCTAGTTCGGTTAACATCGGTTGGACCCCTTCCGGGACTCGTTCTAATAATCTAAACATTAATTGGAGTCTATCAGTTTCGCCGGCTTTGATAAGCGGCGCACATTCGGCTAAAAGCACCGACAGGTTATTGCTGACTAAAACTTTGACGCAACATTGGATAACTCCGTTGCTGCCAGCTTCGAGGTAACGTTGAGCTCGGGCTTCCTCTTCCCTTAGTTTGCTATCGGCGTAGCGCATGTAAGCTTGGACGCCGTTTGTTTCCAAGTGCTCGGGGGCCTTAAGGCGGTAAAACATTTCGGTGCTTTGAATGTACGCCGCTTCGAAATTTTCACGATAGATTTTCAAGCGGTCGTAGGTGCTCGAACAAAGGTTGACGTAGGATTCACGAACGCCTGCAAAAATATTTATTACAATAAAAAATTACAATTACCAAAAAATCGAATTCTTAAATAACATTAAATAAAAAATAACCTCATTTATAAAAAAATACAACTTATTGAAAATCTAATTCCATTTTATTTCTAATTTGAAACTTTGGGGTCACATAATAAGTTAAAAAAACTATTCTCAATTTATTGTGTTGCCTGTAAAATGAAATCAAAAATTCATATTAAAGTGACTCTCTGTTACAGCTGTTTTATTATTATTTTGAAATAGTGACCAATGAATTGTAGACACATTGTTTCAAATTTGAAAATTTTGTTGAATCCAACTGCAATCGAAATATTTATTATGTGCAACAGCAGACATTTATTAAAACAGTGTTAAAGATAATTATAATAAATTGTTGATAATTAAATTTTTTAACTAACAAAGCATCTTCAAAACGGTGGAAAAACAGTTAAAAGACTGACGCAAATTACAAAGAATTTGTTACAAAGTAACGCAAAAGTTGGTAAAAAAGCTAGTTCGCGCGTAGTCATGTTTTCTTTTATTTAATTTTACGTTTTTAATTTTAAATAAATAATAATTAGAATATTTTAATCAAAATCTAAAAATTCTTTTCTACTTCAAATTTGATAAATATGAAGACCTTGAGGTCAAATAGGTGTAGGAAAAGAGTAAAATTGTGGATAATCTGGAAATAAATTCTCAAGATTTGTTCATATACACCATCAAAAATTTGGGACATCGAAAGCAATTTACTTAAAACAACATTGTCACCAACATAAAATACACCACGCAATTAACGCACCCAAACGAGTTCGTTAATAGCCTTTTTCTATTTTGCGTCTGAAAGAATAGTATATTATAGTACAAGTTGCAGAAGGTTTTTATGCAAGCACAAATTTGAAATTCCGAAACGAGCCGCGTAGCGGAGAGTTGAGGAACAAATGAGTGCTTGAAAGCCTTCTGCAACAACTGCTTTATACAATTTCTTCTATTTTGCCGCTTTATATCATTTAATAAATTAGAAAACGAAAATTTTAATTTTTTCTTTTCTAGAGAATTTTGCGACGGTTGGTGATATTTATTAATGTGGAATAATTTTAGGCGACTGTAAAAAAATAATAATAATTCTTATTTTCACATTTAAAAATTAATTGTGGAGAAAGTCCGTCACTAAAATTAAATTAACGCCAGCGACTTATTCCAGCACTCAAATGACGTCATTTGGGTGCTGGAATAGACTTATTCTAACACCAAAATAGAAAAAGCTTATTTCGATACCAAAACCGACGCTTTAATAAGCCATTTCAAGACCAATTCGGGTTCTGAAATAGGCTAGTACAATTTAATTTCTAGAGATTGGTGTCGCTATTCGCGGTCATGAGATATCACTGTCATCGGACTAAAATTTAAAATCCCAGCGAAATAATCCTGAAATTATTGCTTTTCGTAGAAATGGTGCAATTTCGTTGGCAGTAAATTTTCAGCGGCGTTTTGAGCGATTTCTCTTATTTCAGGTGGTGCGTTCTTTAATATACTATTTAAAGAAGCAAAATAGAAAAAAGGTGTTTAAAATTCAAGTAAATATACCTATTACTAATTGAGAATCGAAGGCTTCCCCGTTCCTCTCGGCATGCACAAGTTTCATCGCACTATCCTGCAGTCTATGCTTGATATCTTTAAAAATACTTTCATTCCACGAGTCAAGCATTAGTTTCCTGACTATGCTCTCATCAGTGGCCCCCTTTTTTCCACTGCCACTTTGCACACTGGTAGTCCCTGACGATGTTTTTCCTTGCAAAGAAGTTTCCAACTGTCTAAAAGGAGTGGGTAGGTAGTTACATTGTGTAAAAAATTTCCTCCATTCTGCGATATAAGCTTTCAACAGTGCTTCATCTTGCCTTTGAGCCAAAACTCTAGCTTGAGCTTGTTTAATAAACTGTACTATGTCCTCTTGTAAATGATCACGTAATTTAGCTGGTCCTTTCTCATCCCAAAGACAAACTAAATGTACATCATAAAACAGTTCCTGCCATTCAGCTGGTGACACTGGTTCTTGTTTTAACAGTTTCAGGACAATGGGGCGCATCAAAGGCCATTTATCTTCAAACTTTAGTTGCCCCTTTTCCTGCAAAAGAGATTTTTGGGTTTTGTGCACGTAATGGAAGGTTATGGTAATCACCTTAAGCATTTTAGAGGTTACGATTGGCATTGAAACTTCTTAGCTCTTACTGATATGTCCTTACATTTGTTTAACGTGTAAATTGTTTTAAATTAGCTGAAACTAATTTTAATCATTTATTTTGAGTAGTTTCAGCTTAACCTTAACATATTTTGTGCTTAGTCGCCGAGCTTGTTAACAACAAAAGACGGGAGCGGTTCCAACCGCGAATTACTCGAAATTACGAGAATCGCTGGGAAATTTTAAAACATCAGCGTAATCACAATGTAAATTATTGATTAGAAATGAAATCTACAACCACTTCATTTTATTTTTAATTAATTTTAGGGAAAAATTGAAAAAATGTCAGACTGACATTTCAAAAACGGTCTACCAACATTGAGAAATGACATTCATCGAACTTTAAAATCCCTACTTTTTGACAGTCGAAGGGTTGAACTTGGCAGAGCAGTGGGGCCCTACTTCTAATTTCATCTCTAACACTCTTATAATCATAAAAAGAACGCAATAATGGCTACAAATAATCTCTCGATGCTTGTAAGTACAAGCTAATTTCATTTGTGATAACCTTCATACACACTATCAACCAAAATCTGATTACATAACATGCCTCTTTAAATCGCAGGTCCGCTCCTTCAGTACCAGTAATATCGCAAGTCAGATGGTCAAGCCTCCTGTCCAAGTATTTGGCATTGACGGACGTTATGCTACCGCTTTGTATTCGGCTGCTAGCAAGCAAAAAGCTCTTGAGTCTTGTGAAAAAGACCTTGTAAAGTTTCAATCAGCTGTTAAGGCTGACTCCAAATTGAATGAATACATCAAAAACCCTACAATTAAACGCGGGTTGAAATCCGAGGCTTTGAAACAAATTGCCTCAAAAATATCTCTCAACTCACAGACCTCCAATCTTTTGCAAACTCTTGCTGATAATGGACGTTTAAAGAACCTTGATGGGGTGATTAATGCTTTCAAGATTATGATGTCGGCTCACCGTGGAGAGGTAAGATTTTGTAAAAAAAATCAGATTTTAAACTTTACTTTAGGTGATTTGTGAAGTTATCACTGCCAAGGATTTAGATTCTGCACAAAAATCCAAGTTGGAGTCTGTCTTAAAGTCGTTTGTTAAGTCAAACGAGTCGATTCAGTTGAGTACCAAAGTTGATCCCTCCATTATTGGCGGTATGATTGTCAGCATTGGTGATAAATACGTCGATATGAGCGTCGCTAGCAAAATTAAGAAGTACACAGAACTTATCAGCACTCCTGTTTAAATTAATCATTTACGATTATAGCAGTTGCATAGTTCACCAATAAACGTCTTTAATTTCATTATTCTTTATATTATTTAAATTGAAACCTAAACACCAAACTCTAAATAAATATAAATGGGTTAACAGGCTACTGAATAAAGTGTTAAAATATAAAATATTCCTGTTGGGAAATGGGACAAAGACTGGTGTCTAGTTGTTGGTAGGTTCAATAGTCTCCCCTCCGCGGATTTGCCCCCACCCGATGAGACGCCAATGCTTTTCCACCCGTCTGCTGAGTGCAATTTTTTCGCCAATTTCGGTACAAACCGGATTGGTCAACGCAATCTTAACCAAATCGGCTTTAGTAGCAACGACACGTCCACCAGTACTCAAAGACCCAATATTGACTAGCAAGACTTCGGTCCTGGACAATTTCTGAACTTTCGCCCCCTTTTTGTCCCCTTCAGTACGCACGCCTAGCAGACGCTTCAGCAAATAGTAACTGACCTGCAATTTAAATCATAACAATCGGAAACAATTAGAAATAATAATAAACCTCCAACTCAATAAAAATACTCGGTAAGGCCCCAACTGCTCCCAAGACTTGACCAACGAGACGATCAGCGCGACACAAAGTCGGTTCGATTTTCGTACCAACGCCGATCAAACCTCCGGGAACGGCGAATTGTAGTTCGTTTTGTTCCGTGTAGAGGGAGACAATGCGGGAGAAGATGGGGCGGCATGTGAGCTTGCCCTCAGAGTCTTTGCTCACCAAGCCCGGTCTCACCTGAAAATTGATTATTAAAAGAATAATTTTTTTGATTCATAAATGAAATACCTCAATTTCTTGGCCGACTTTCAAGACCCCACGTAAAATACTACCACCAGCGACTCCCCCTTTAAGATCATTCACTTCACATCCCGGTTTATTAACATCAAAAGATCTAATAACAATAAGCCGCGGCTGTGACGTAAAGTCCCTCACAGGAACCGGAATTTTCTTCGTAATGTATTCACAAAGAACCTAGAATCAACTGTAATTCCAATGTGTTTGTTTAAAAAAAAAAGTTACTTCAATATTGTATTTGAGTTGGGCCGAAATCGGAATAATCGGAGCCCCTTCGGCCACAGTCCCTTGCACAAACTTGACAATTTGTTCGTGTTGCTCCTTGGCTTGTCCTTCCTTCACCAAATCGATTTTATTTTGCAATATGATAATATGCTTCAGTTTCATAATTTCTATAGCAGCTAAATGTTCACTTGTTTGTGGCTGAGGACATGACTCGTTGCCTGATAAGAAAACGTTACTTGCGAAAAACATCAAAGTCTTTTTTACCAGCAATGAGAAGAAGTGCAGCGTCCATAACTGCAGCTCCGTTAAGCATAGTGGCCATAAGAATGTCGTGACCAGGACAATCGACGAAACTCACATGACGGATTAGTTGGAAGCGACCAGTGCAAGCAGGACGTAAGCAAGGAAAACTATCGTCCTTTGAGGAGGCACCGGAGATGTAACAAGTCGGTCTAGGGCATTTCGGATTGTCGCATTTGTAGATTTTTGCATTAGCGTAGCCTAAAAGATGAAAATATCTTTATATTCTTCGACATTCCTAAATTTAAATAAAGGTAAAAACTAGAAATGTTGTAACATTATTTTTTGATAAAACATCGTGATAGCAAACCCAAAAGGGAAAAATATTTTTTACGCATTTAGAAACATTCATAAGACTGTTATATTTTAATTAACCAAAAAAAGAAAAGGTGTGGTGTAGTTTTTCCCGGAACTGTGTTAAACTTTTTAAACCTGAGCAGCAGAGCTAAACACAAAGAAAAATAATTTTTGCGCCTTTCTTGTGCGAATTACTCGTGATCATACACTAGCATAAACGTATGGGTAAACAAAATCTTTCTTGCTAATTTTATTACTTTCGTAATATTTAACAAGTCCAATTTACCAATTTAGAAACAACAATTAACAAATATTTTTTGCTTCAATCAAGTTTTGACACTGCAAAGTGATATTTTAATTCAAATCATTGTAGACACTTTTGCTATTCGGAAGTTAGTTTTCAAATACGCTTTTAATTTGGTTTTTAAATATTTTGTTATTTTTTTTGCAATACGCTGACACTAGGAAAGGTAAGGGGGTCTAAATATTTTGTTTTCAGACCATTATGATTTTTAAAATACAAGTAGTAAAATTGAGAATGTAAGATTAAAGATTCCTTTTACTTAAAGTCACTTAACAGTTATTATTATTTTAATTTTTTTCTAATCGTAATGTTATAATTTATATTTTTTGTTGTATGTATTTTTTCAACTACAACTTTTATTTGCATCAGTAAAACATTTCTTCAAGGTATTTAAAAATTGAACAAGTGCATTTCATAAATACATAATAAGTCATTTATTAAACATTAAATTATTATTCTTCTTGAAAATTTCTCCGAATTTCGTCTTGAAATAAAATATTCAAACATTATATTGATTGCATGATTGCATGGTTAAGTACAGTTCTGAACATTAATAAAACGAAAAAGAAAATTATAAAGCACTACAAAAAAAATAGATACAGGACGAGTCACTTAATGACCCTAACCGATTTTCAGACACAACCCAAAATAAATTCTTAAAGAAACTTGGTTTTTGTAGCGTTTGAAAAATTTTGATTAAATTTAAATCAAAGTAATTGTTGATATCTCATTGATTAAATTTGACATCAATTCCACTTTTTCCCTTGAATTCAAAATAAAGTAAAATCCTAAGACCTACTAAAAATTTTATGACACATTATAAGGAATTAACCAAACAATGGCTTGAATTTGTAACCCCCCACAAATGTCACGTTCCAGCAAGTGTTGCTGCACCCACTAGAATAAAACAGGGCCGTATTTAAAACTAACGTAGTGGTAGAGTTTTACTAAGTTATTATTAAAAAAAAAATCAGCTTTATTTAATAATAGCTTGTTAATAACCACCTAGCTTTTTTTAAATTTCTTAAAATACTTGACTTTAATAACAACTTGAAATACATTTCAAGTATTTTAGACAAAAGAAAGTAAGTAATCCGGCCCTGTTAAAAACTGACCTGTTTCAGGGTCCTGGTGGGTTCCACTAATTTATGATTTGTTTACCCTCTGGTTTACTCTTAACAATACCGCATTTAACTTAAAAGTAATAAAATTTTTAGTAGCTGTCTTAGGAAAACGATTTTACTATACACTCAAACGACGAAGAAATTCACATAATCTTGATATAAGTGTGTCCCAGGATAGGTGAGGTGTAAAACGACTCTTGTCAAAAGAGATAAAAGATAAAAAATTCTCGATTTAGATTTTTATTTTTTGGGGTTCAACTCTGCTTGATTAAAGACAAATTTATAACATAATTTTAATTTTGGAAAATCAAGTATGTCTTGGAAATTTTCAAAAAACCTACTTTGCCAAAAAATAAAACTTAAATCAATTTTTTTTATCTTTTAAGAGTCGTTTCACCTATCCGGGGACACACTATATAACTTGATTATGGATTTATCCCAACATTGGGTAGGTGCGCAAAAATGAAAATCATAGTTGGACGATGATTTTTAAATTTGGTATAGGGGTCTAAATATTGATTCTAAACGACTTTTCTTAATAACTTTTCGTCGTATTTGCTATACAGGGTGTTCCGTCTAAATCCCACTTTAGAAGTATTGGGAGTTGGAATAATTGTATTTATTTGAAAATTGGTACATAGCCATAAACCATTAAGTCCTCCTAAATGAAAATATTTTCAAGATGGCGGCACTTCCGGTTATACCGGAAGTCGGTCTCAACTTTCTTATTTTATATAGAAAGGTATATTTTTTACTGCGTTTTTGGATTAACCGGGTTATTTTAAGGGAGTTTTCATCAGCTTTCCCTATACCTAAATTTAGCCATTTTTGAAATATTTGGAGTTTTTCAAAAATTTTTGGATTTACACCTTCCACTTTAAAAATCGGTAACTCTGCTATTTTTTAAAATTTTGTATTCGTTTTTTTGGCGTTTGAAAGAGAAAGTTTAGATCTTTCTTTCCTTGTTTTCAAATTTTGAAAAAAAAAAAATTAACAAACCATAAAATTTTAAGGTTACTTTTGTAATAATTCAAATACCCATAACTAAATTTTTTCAAATGAAATACTCCAATTTTTATTTTACTAAATGGAGGAGAATTTAATTCCGCATCGATCTGTATTAACATTCCCTATACCTAAATTTAATAATTTTTAAGTTATGGTGACTTTTTGTTGAGACTGCCGAAAATCTGTTGTTAGCCACATTCGTTTTCGTATAGTTTGCTATGGAAATAAAAAATGTCAAAATTGTTTCTAAATAAATGTCGACAGTGACTTATTATTTGACAAATAGTGCCAAAATATGGAGAGTCAAAGCTACTCAAACTTAGATTTAATTAATTTATTTTGTATTTATGGAGAGTGTAACTAAATTATGATATCGTTCATTAAACAAAAATAAGTTTTTTTCACTTGTTAGCTTTAAATAATGATTGCATGGTAGAACCTATCAATAATAATTAAGTTTGCATAACTTTGATTCTCCATATGTTGGCACTATTTGGCAAATAATAAGTCACTGTCGACGTTTACTGAGAAACAATTTTGACATTTTTGATTTCCATAGCAAACTATGTGAAAACGGGTATGGCTAGTAATAAATTTTCTGTAGTATTAAAAAAAGTCCATAACTTGAAACTTATTAAATTTAGGTATAGGGAATGTTAATACAGATCAATACACAGTTAAATTCTCTTCTATTTAGTAAAATAAAAATTGGGGTATTTCATTTGAAAAAATTGAGTTATGAGTATTTGGATTATTACAAAAGTAACCTTAAAATTTTGGGATGTTATTTTTTTTCAAAATTTGAAAACACCAGAAAAAGGATATAAGCTTTCTCTTTCAAACGCCAAAAAACCGAATTTAAAATCTTAAAAAATGGCAAAGTTACCGGTTTTTAAAGTGGAAGGTGCAAATCCAAAAATTTTTGAAAAACTCCAAATATTTCAAAAACGAGTAAATTTAGGTATAGGGAAAGCTGATGAAAACTTCCTTAAAATAACCCGATTAATCCAAAAACGCAGTAAAAAATATACCTTTCCATTTAAAATAAGAAAGTTAAGACCGACTTCCGGTATAACCGGCAGTGCCGCCATCTTGAAAATATTTTCATTTAGGAGGACTTAATGGTTTATGGCTATGTACCAATTTTCAAATAAATACAATTATTCCAACTCCCAATACTTCTAAAGTGGGGTTTAGACGGAACAGCCTGTATAAAAAGTACTTTACTCCAGAGAAAAGTACTTTTTTTTTTGAAAATTTCCAAGATTGATTGATTTTCAAAAATTACACTGTAGGACTTTAATTTATAAAAACTGTCAAAGCTATTACAGGTATATATAATATATTCACTAAACTCCCGACATGTCAAAATGACATTAAATTAGTTAAACAAAAAGTTACTATGGCTATGTTGGTGACAACTTCCCTCAAAGTTTAACAACCTGGTCGCTATCACTTGATTTGAAATGATTTAATTATTATCATTGGTGCATGTGCCGTGTACCATGGAAACTTGACATCAAGTACAGTCAGATGAAATAATAGTCATCTGTGTCGTTTGGGATACACTCAAAAATTTTGGTTTGACATTGTAAACGTCACGGGACTTTTGTGAATACATAATATAATTATATCTTTGAAAAATTTCAGCCTGTACGTATTTCCAAAATATGCAATATTTCAGTCAAAACAAGAAGCTGAAGTGAAGTCGACAGCGTAGTCTTGTTAATCAATTTTAATTGTAATATTCTTTTTCTATGTTGCTTCTTTAACATCGCTATTAACAAACTTGTTTGAGTGTGTCAACAGCTTCTCAGAGTGCGTTAACAGTCTAGTGTATTTAATGTTTTTAAAGTTGGTGACAAAGGCCAGTGTGAGTTAATTTTTCACCAAAAGACGCAAAATTTCCCTTTTTTAGATTTTTTAATTAGTACAGGTGGGAGAGGGAGGGGGCAAAACAATTATTTTAACAAATCTTTCATTTATTGACATTGGTTTATAAAAACCATAATTTATTCACAACTTCACAATTGTAGATTTTAATAGTTAAAAAATTGAATCGTTTGTTACTTACTGACAAATGTATACCCTATATCTCACATTTAATTCTCTTTGAATGACAATTCAATTAGTACTACAAATTATATTAATCTAACTTAAATAACAATTTCGTTTTTTGTGAATTACAACTAAACGCCATCTTAACCAAACAAATAGCGACGACACGAGTCCGCAGCGCATTTACAAATCGACGTTCCTGGCAACAATTTCCCGTTCCCAATTTCATTCTTTTCCGGTGTTTGCAGTTTTGGTCTCGACTTTTCCGGAGTATTCATCGGCGACCCCATATTATTCGACATATAATCAAACGTCAACTCCTCACCTTTCTCGATTTCTCTCAGTGAAAATAGCGCCAATCGAGGCATATTTGGATCGGAACAATTGATCCAAACAGCCCAAACGGCCAAATTTGGCTCACACGAATGATTAATAAAATGTGAAACATTCCCGTATTTTGCAGCGTCGACAGTATAAGGATTATCCTTTGAATTGTAATCCAAATCGAAGAGATAAGTCAGACCTTTAGCGTCGTAAGTGCGTCCTCGAGTTTCGGCCTCTTCGTGTGTTATCACCTCGCCCACATACTCGCAGATAAACTCCCCGTAGTGAATTTTACGTAAGCTTTTCACCCCCCAGCCACACCCGTTGCTCGTCCGGAAAATACAAAGGGGCACTTTGCGGCCCTTTTGGACGACGCGATTCCTGCAATCGGCACCACATTTGCACAAATCGTTGCATTCGTAGATCGCCATTCCTGGAATAATGTTGATTTTGTCGCGTTTGCGGTATGTGAAGCTGTTGGGGTCTTGACGGCCGCAGCACTGCTTTTTCCTCGGTCCACATTCCTCGCAGTCGCAGCCACTTGTGGGCTTGCAGGAAATTGTCACGTTTTTGCCCGCGATGTACTCGTTTATATAGATGAAATCGCGAGGTGGTTCCTCCAAATCGACATTGTTTTCAACCTTGATTAACGCATCTTCTTTTGCTTTGAAATTGATGTATTTTTCCCACTTTTTGAGTTTGAGGAGTTGGCGATCGCGCTTTAAAACGAGTTGGTATAGAAGTATCGCTTGTTTCCCTTCTTCGAGTTTTTCGATTTGACGTTCATTCGGTGGGGTCGCCACTAGTCTTAGTATTTTCTGCTGTAGTTGGAGCTTGGTTGGGAGAGTTTTCAAGTCGAATAATTCTAAAAGGGTGCGTTGTTTGATATTTTTCTCCACGTGAAAGTTTTCTGCTAATGCGTCTAATACTTGTTTGCCTACGTGTGCGGTGAAAAATTCCATTAAAATTTTTGGACAGTGTTCTAAGTGTTCTAAAGGTTCCCATGAGTTGTGACTGTCGGGATAATTTTTCCATTTAACTAAAAACATTTGCTTGTTGTAGGAAAGTTTGTGTTCTAGAATCTTTTCCACGATATATTCCTTGGCATAGGTTTGAATAGATGTTTTCTTTTTTTTGACTGGGTGTTTCCTTTTGGTTCCTCTTCTTGGTGGAGTGATCCCATTGCGTTTTTTTACAGCACTCAAGTCCACTTGCATGTGTCGAAGATGTTTCGGCCAAGTGACTTTACCGTTCTCATCGAACTGGACCCTCTCTATAAACCGATATAAACGACAAAATCATAAATTAATCAAAGAATTATTAATTACATCAATAATAAAATACTACTGTTTATAAAGATACTCTCAGTTCGATGTAACGTCTGAAGCGTGCGATGACACAAGTTTTATCTGCGCATACACTCACTTCACAGAAACTATAATTCTTATCGATTTTATCTATTAATTAAAAATTAAAGAAAATAGAGGATTCTGACTATTAAACTAAATTAATAAATAACCTTAAACTTTCCTTCCAAAAATTAAAATACCAGCGTATTAAACCCCACAGAACCATTTCAAGCAACAACGCCTAAATGTAGTTATTTTATTAATAAAATACCGAAATAGGAACTTCTTGAGATGTGCAACTCACAATGTGGTTTAAGTCCTACCGATGTGAAGATCTTCACTACATACTGTAACAAAATTAAATTCTCTGCTCCATTAATAGGCAATATTTACCATGCAGTTTCAGGTGAACTATATAAAAACAATAAGTATTTGGAAACTTTTGTAAAATTACAGGTTTACTGTACAGTATAAAAAATTTAATTCAGTTACAGTTTAATTTTATAGTACAGACGATAAAATAAATTGAAACTCATAATCTCACTTTAGTAAAATGTAGGGTGGCTAAAAAGTATGGATACAGTTAAATATTATAAAAAATATTCATTAAAACTTATTGAAATTTGGTATAGGCTTAAAAGCATCGCCGTCTCCATAGAAATAATCTTTTTCTCGCCTGGGCATTTTGTGAGTTCAACTGATTCCCGTTGGCGCCCTAACCTGGGGAAATTTTTCTGACATATCCAGTTTTTTAGCTTAAAGGGTTCAACCTCATAATATCAATTCTCCCTGACGTATCTTGTTTTGTTGTATCCTTCCCAGCATTTATTAATTGCGTTATTTTTCGTTAATAATTAAAAATCATTCAGTTTTTCCTTAGTAACCCCCGTAACTAAGAAAAAATTGGAATCACTGCTCCAATGCATTTTTTACGAAATGCCCAGGCGGGATATTGATACATTTCATTAAGGAGGCGGTGCTTAAAAGTATTTAAATTTCATCGCCTCAAATGTTTATCAAACATTTATCTCCATTTGTTCTGGGGATACAAGACTAACTTGATTTTCTTTAAATGTCAAGAAGGGTCAAATTTAGTATTTTTAAAAAGAGCATTTTTTTTCTGATTTCTGTGATGTGCATACCTTATTTTAATCAAAACTTTCAAAAAAATATTGAACTAATTAAATTTTGAAAAATGTATTTTTTTTAGCCTTGGAAAGTTGTCTTTATCTATCGTTAGCTCTTAGCCGCCTGAACTTTGACCAAAAAATAAGTAAACTGTCCCAAATATCAGTGCTCTGCTAAATCGTTCTGAAAATAAATATTTAGCTGTATCCATACTTTTTAGCGACCCTGTATATTTTGTTAATAAAAAAGTTATTTTGAAAATCTGCTGAATTTCAGTTTTTAAAGTGTCTGTGACAAACACTTAAGACATGCAAAAAATAGTTTAACAGTAGATTACATATAAAATACAGAAAGCCAATCAGACATTTTCAAATTTTGAAATTGCACTTTACGTTTTTATTAAGTGAGCAATAAACCAAATATTCTTTTTTCAAAAGACTTATGTCAAAGTAACGTCGCACCGTTTAGGTTTCTTCCTTGGCAATATCTGTAGGAAAATGTCCGATATTAATAATGATAGAAAAATAAAATGTACTCCTCCTGAAGTCAGGGAACTTGCTGAATGGGAGCAGAAAATTTTAAAAACCTATGTTGAGAAATGGCTACTTCGCAGCCCAAAAACTGAACTGTCCTGAAGTTAAAACGTCATACTTTCCAACTTTTCTCATACAAAGTAATATAAACTAAAAAAGTAATCATATCCTGTATAAAAAGCGACAATATTGAATCATATTTGCAATGGTAAAATGTGTACTCAGTTAAAGTAATTTAGTAAAAATTTAATATTTAGCCAAACAAGACCATTTAGGCGATGTTACTGTCATGGTTTAAAGCTTCATCCTCAAGGAATGTGATTATTATTCAATTTTTAATTTTGGTTTAAGTAGTAGGTAGATATTTGTACCAAAACTTATATGCGCATGTGTTAAAGAAGCGTTATTAAAAAATAGACAAATACCCCTTATGATTAGGCAAAGAGCCTAGGGACCAAAACCTTGGCTTAGATGTCATAAATGCATCATAAAATACCGAAACTCACCAAGCTTAATTGTAATGTTCCTTTCCAATTCATTCTTAAACCTTACAGTTTGGACGCCTGAAATGGCTTTGACTACTGTGGACTTCCCGTGGGCTACATGACCAATTGTACCAATGTTAATTGTAGCTTGTCGACTTATAACTTCAGGTGAGAGGGCTGTTAGCTTCGTAACATCCTGAAACAAGCGTTTTTAAAGGCACCAGATGTGGCAAGTTGAGGTTATGTTAAGAAAGCACCGATTTTGAGTCAACCCGATTTTCGAAAAATGATTATTGTTACTAATGAAACACATCAAACACCTACCAATTTTAATAAATCCTGTTTATGTAAGTTAGGTTGACCTGTTGTCACGCCTGTACCTTCAACGGTCGCCATTTTTAGCCGGGAATACAAATTGAAAGAGCGGGAATGGTAGGAAATACGTCATCTGGCACTTTTGCCAACAAAAAGTTACTAAAACTGGGCGGGGCCTGTCAAGTGCTACCAACAGATTTGTTTGGTTTTTAGTTGCAAATTTTTCTTAACCTAAAAACCATTTCCCGATAATGAATTTTTCTCTTGTCAGGAAAAACTAATTGAAAATGATTACCTTAAACGAAGTTGTTGTGAAATATGGCATTCTGGTTTTCCTATGGTCCGAGTACTTATGGGAATTATATTTGTCAATAAGACAGGTAATACACCCACTAATCCATATGTTTTTAATTAAAATGTGTTTCTGCAGCACAAAAAAGGCTATGCGACTACAGAAGTCCCTCCAGAATTGAAGAACACAATGACCAAGGAGACTTTTAGCAAGGCCAGGTTGTACATGTTGGCCAAAAGCAAGTTTGGTATGATTAGAGAAACCTTTTCTGTAATTGAGTCAACGGTAATAATATATTTTGGTATTTTACCGAAAATTTGGGATTATTCCCAATCTCTGAACCCTTACGGTGGTGAAGTTTTAACGAGTTGCATTTGGTTGTTTATTCTCACAACAATTTTGACGATTATTGATCTGCCATTAACTATTTATAATACTTTCGTTCTTGAGGAAAACTTCGGTTTTAACAAGCAAACAACCGGTTTTTTCATTTGGGATAAAATCAAGGCTTATATTTTAAGTCAAGTATTCACAATGATGATATCTTCGGTTATTGTAGTCACTATTCAAAGCGGTGGGGCGTATTTCTTTGTCTGGCTTTGGATAGTTGTGTGTTCGATTTGCTTCATCATGTATGCAATTTACCCGACGTTTATCGCCCCATTGTTCGACAAATACACACCTCTCCCAGAGGGTGAATTGAGGACGCAGATTGAAAATTTGGCTTCACAGTTGAAATTCCCCCTGACCCAGTTGTACGTCGTTGAAGGGTCTAAACGTTCAAGTCACAGTAATGCCTACTTCTATGGACTTTTCAATTCAAAACGAATCGTCTTGTTTGATACTCTCTTGGCGAAAGACGATGGTACTGGTTGTAAAAACGATGAAATTCTAGCTGTCTTGTCTCATGAGTTAGGGCACTGGCATTATAATCACATTGTGAAGAACTTTCTGGCGTTACAGATTAATTTGTTTTTGTTGTTTGCCGGCTTTTCGTACTTATTTAAATATCCGGCCATCTATAAGGCTTTAGGTTTTTACAAAAGTCAGCCAGTTTTGGTCGGGTTGTACATTGTTGTACAATATGTTATGTTGCCCTACAATGCCTGTTTGAGTTTCCTCCTCACTTGTCTTTCTCGAAGATTTGAGTTTCAAGCCGACTCTTTCGCAATTAAGTTGGGCAAAGGCAGCTATCTGATTAATGCTTTAGTACAATTAAATAAAGATAATTTAGGATTCCCTATTTATGATTATCTTTATTCGTCATGGCACCACTCTCATCCTCCCTTACTTGAAAGGATAGATGTCATCAAAAAGGCGCTTTATAAGAAAGATTAGTTGATTAGTGTAACCAAAGTGTTTTTAATTAAGAATTCCAGTTATTTTATAAAACGAGAGTGAATAAATTGTGAAAAAGAAAGCCGAGTTTTAAAAACAAACCTTCCTTTATTTATAGAACAATAATATAATTTCTTGTGTCACTAATAGCGTTATAACAATTTAGAATAAATCTAATGGAATGGAAATGAAGAGATTGAAATTGAAGAATCATTTCTTCCGATACGCTCCATCATTGTGCCGACAAGGTGGCGTGAAATAACAATTGTTCCCGTTCCAAATAGAATATGAATAACCGATAACATCAAATAAAATATATAGAAATGGAAACAAGTTCGCCTAATCTAGCGTGTTTTTTGCTTAAATAAAAACGATACTAGCTACATAGCAGATTGAGATGGGCCTGGACTTGTGAAAATAATTTTCAGTGATATAAAAGTTTTCCCGAAACTCTGGATGCCCAATCGGGACCCAGCGCAATCTGTACAAAATACAGAAGTTAGTACAAGTTTTTTTCACTAACCGAATGTTCTATGGCAACGACCATTCTACCATCTACAAACATATATGTCACATCTCTTATTTGATTTTGTGAGATTATAGGTACATTTGGCATTATCATTATTAAATGGAGAAGTGGGAAGACATGAAATAATTTACAAAAGGTAAGAAGCACATAGTCAAATTAGTATCAACACTTGTCGTTCAGCCTAATAGAAAATAATAAAAATTTACCAAACGACAAGTGTTGACACCAATTGAAACGATTTAAAGAAACTAAGGATCAATGAAAAAGACAAGGAAACGTACAGCTTATTGTCTTCCAAATACCTAACATTTTTTTAACAGGTAAAAGAAACAATTTCGGTAGGTATACATATTTACATTGACTACTTGCGTCTAAATCTAGGATGTTACTATATACAAGTGTTTCAATAAATTGCAGCGAGATAACTGACTAGTAAAATTATCAAATAAAAAATAATATAAACGTAGAAAAGAATAAACTAAAGCAGGTAATCATATAGTCTGTTCAAAGTCTATTCTACAAGGTCTGAATATATATGACTTAGATTTATTTAAACGAGGCTTAACTACCAAGAAATGCAGCAGCTTTAGGCAGGCCACAATCATTAAAGCTGCCACAAAAAAAAAATAAAAATTTGTAACGCTTAATCCTAACACCTAAATAAGTTTCCAAAAATATTTTTGTCTGCTTCTACGGTCATAGATATGTGATTTGTTGTAAGAATCTGCATTTTTTCGATCCTTAAATCAATAATAATACGGTGTTATCCAATGTGGCAGCCATATTGAATGATATTTAAATGATAAAATTCAAATGTAAAAAACAATTAAACACCAATTAATTATTTCCACATTATACCACAGTTGTTCTCAAAAGTACTCTTGTAATAGATTATGGCACTAGTGTTTGCTAAAAGAAACAACAATGTTAGAACCAGAGTTTCTTTGAAACAATATACTGAACAATTCCTGCAAAACTGATGCATTTCTGTGCCTAAGCCTTTTAAAATGTTCTTAAAATATAATAAAGTAGCAAAGGTACAAATTTGCTACACTTTCATTAAAAATCTACAATAACACATTTCCAAGTTACATACAATTTTATGAATTATATCCTGGGTGCGAAAACCATGTGCTCTTTTTAAACAGTATTAAATGATAATACAAGTTAAATCTATCCTCAGGCAGAATAGAATATCACAATTCGCGTTAAGTTTAAGAATTTATAGCACGTCTTGCGACAGATAGTGACAATCAATCAATGACCCAAATTTCATAATTCACGCCTTTACAATCCTGTGTTTGATTAATTGTCACCTTCTGCCTCATCTATTGACTATAGGACTAGTCTAGAACGGAAAACTGTACAATAAACATGTAAACACTTCACAATTGGTACCATTTCTTGTCTTTGTACTTGAGCATGAGATCATGGGCTGTCGCTTGGTAGTTTTCCGCTTCGGCTCGCATTTTTTCGGCTTTGTCCTCAAGCTGGCCCAGTTTTTCCCCTCTTTCAACCATCAGTTTATGTGCTCTGTTGACTTCGCCGCTCGCACACGACACACGGGCACCCATTTCTTGGATACTGCCTGGGATGTGCTTGGCGATAGATTTGTTCGCCTTACCGCTTGATTCTCCAACTAAATTGTGGTTAAATTAAAAACAGAAAAATAAATAGTCACTTACATAATTCTTCTCGGTCTAAACTTCGAATTCCACCTCCGAAAAGACCCTTGAAGAAACCTTCTTTCGGGGGCTCGGGCATATCTAGTGGCAAAAATAGCTCACCCATCATTTCAGATAAGTTTGAGCTAAAACGCGTCCAATGAATTTTTTCTGGGCAAAAATTTTCAAACTTACCAAAATTCTGTACAAAGTGTGAATTTTTGTATTTCAGACGGTGATGCTAAGTACAAACCATGTCCTCTGTTACTGAAGCAGAATGTTCGAGTGATTCTAAAAATTGTTCAACATATTAATATTGTCCTTGAATCGAATTTAAAATCACTTAAAAGTAAAACTTTAGTTATTACTACAATTTGTATTGTATTTTTTTTGAATCGATACCATACCGAAGGGCATTGTAGGGTATATTCTGTATGGTGCAATATTTACATAATACGGGGATTTTGGGTGATGCATGACATCAAAAAATTGCATTCAACTTAGAGCAAGTGACTAATTTTCTACGTTCAATAAATGTTATTTACTCAAATTTACCTCCTAGTCAAAAATGACGACAAAAAATTTGGAATGGTTTGGAACATTTCATCAAAATCCACATCTTTGTACATAAAGACAAAAAATTTGTTTGATTTATGGTACAAAATTATCGACACACACAATATTATGCACTAATCGAGCATGCGAAATAGGGGGAAAAATTGATGGAAATAAGCAATCAAAATTCCATCTCCAAAAATGTCGACTTTATAAAGCAATGTCATGAACAATAATGGAAACAATGATCATGCTTATCATGCATAAAGATTTATCGAATACTTTTTAAATTGTTCCTTACATTTTTTAAAATAAAAAACTAAATGACGGAATAAGTGTTTATTTCATTAAAAATTGTTCACTTTAATTTGAAAACTAACAATCTGCGATTTTATTTTTGTGTGATATTTTATGAAATGACTATTATTGCTCATGCTATGTTAGTTGTTTTAATTTATCAACTAAAAGCTATACTATTTACTCTACTTCTACCAAAATTTACTTTTACTAAAATTTATTATTACCTACAAGAGTTTAAGACTTGGTTAAAATAACACATACTGCTCCAATATTTTTTTACTCTGTTATGATTTAACCAAATTACAAACCCTGTGCGCAAGTATTACTGAGTTTATTAAAAATGACTCGTGTTGAGCTTTCTTGAAACTATTTGTGCTAGAAATGGAATGATTTTTTAAAATAGTTGAATGAGTGTCGCGACCGCGGTGCAGGTGTGTTATAAAAAATGATACTGAATGTTTCTAATGATTAATCGGTCATGCAAATTGGTGCTATAGCAATTATATAAAGCTAAAATTATAGCATTTTCCCGATAAGTATCAAATGTTGAGAAGCAGTATAAATTGTGTTTTATTTATGGCAAGTCAGAGGTGGAAAAATCATATTTAGATAGTTATAACGCAAATAATTAATAACAAATTCTGAACGTAGGGTTTATAGTACGTTTACGTATGTTGTCTTTATCCTCGTAGAAATAAATAAGTTTATAATTGATTTAAACACATGCAATATGTTTAATAAACAACCATGCTCTTATCAAAATGCAGTGCCGTTGAAGTGTGCATTGAAAGCCAGATAATCAATTAAAGTGATTGTGTGTTCGAAATTGTGTTCGTCTTGAAAGAATAATCACAATTATTTTACAAATCTGATACCTGTTTTTAAGGCTGATTACGTTTTGCACATTAATCAAGTAAAACTGCATTTTAAAAAAACGACTTATATCTATATCGTATCAGGTGATGTCAAATGTAATTTACTTATGCAATAACAAACCAGGACATTTATGCAACTTTTTGGATGTTCTATGTGTCTTTTCGAATTTATACTTACGCTCAGAGGAGCCCTAAGAATTAGTTTAGTGTTGCTATAGGACATCCAAAACAGTTTGACTCAAGTCCTGATTTTACTTCTTAATGTAACTTATCCAATATCGTACATTGGCGTGTGAGTAACTTACTGGTCAGTATCCTCGTTAACAATGAGTTGTTGTCCCCAAATGGATAACATTGGGTCTACAATGCCTTTGTTAGATTGTGTCTGGAAACTAGCATAGCAAGGTAGATTAGAAGCAAACTAGGGCGAACAGTATTACAGATTGAAGATCGGTTATCCTAAGAATTTTTGATGCTACAACAATTTAGTAGAGGTTGTGCTTTACATCAAATACTTAAAGGTTACACTCAAGTGTTTAAAAATTTCATGTGAAAACTCCTATAAATATTAAATGTATACAACACTCGATGATCTTATACGTATTTACAGTGAGATTATCGAGTGATTTCTCGTTGAACAGGTGCGGCTTAATCTGACTCCGTACCTGTACAATAATCGCTCTAAACTTTGAAATGGAAACTCTCATGCAATCAAGTCTGAGCATAAAGTAAAGGAAACAATGCTAACAATGGTGCGGCGCAGCTATCGTGTTTAGTTAGAAACAAGAGTATGAATAGTCGCGTTGCCACTTTCCCGTCTACTCACCTAAGTTCGGATAAAGGCAGAAAATCTATATCAATCAAAGGTCGCAAACTTGGCAGACTGTAAGCTACGAGGTGGCCGTTAGAAATGTAACCCAACAAGCAAACACTATCTGAAAAATAAAAACAAATTGGATGACTATTGTCACCTCTCAATTTCCTTTACCTCTTAACGAAATTACTTCAGCTTTTACGACAAAATCGGCATCAGTCAATTGCTGGCGATATATACATGTCTGTGACGGCAAAGCTACGACTCGTGCTTGCTTTTCGCTCACTATCACAACGTACTGTCTGTCACTGAACGAGTCGCCTCTGTTTTGCACATCACTCAATGTCGGGCTCATACGATTCTGGCATTTGGTTGGGGTTTCTGAAAAGATTTACGTTATTTTTGTTACACACTACTCAACAAAATATTTCCTAAATTTTTTGGTGATTTTGAAAAGGCTGCATCTCATGAAAAAATGGTTGAATCTAGATTAAAAAAAATATGTTTTGAAGTTTTAGGTTTCTAGTTTTGAGATCTTTTGTTAAACATTTTTTTGTTTTTGGTCCACGAACTTGGGGACTTTTTTTAGTTAAATCAATACATGGGCCGGATAGCCTATTCATTCAGCTTTAATATCCTTTTTTATATTCTCTTTAGGTCAATTAATCGCTGAGATTTCTGACTTTAGATGAAAGAGGATCCTTTTTGTCTTTGATCATCGATATCCCAGCAACCAATGACCGCACAGAGAATGTAAGTGTATAGTGTCAAAAATTGGTATAAATGTATTACAAGACTGTTACGATTTTTTTTAATAATTTTTTTTCACCCTCAACATTGATTTAAAGAAAAGAGAAAAAAGTTCTTCTTCCGTTGTTTTGGTAAATCTACCGTGTGTTTACAAATGTTGATGGGGAGACTAATATTTTTAGGTGTTTTTACAGCTCAATGTTCCACCATAGTCTTGTAAATTTTCAAATCGATCCATCAAAACCGTTTTCTCGGACCGATTGATCAAAGTTTTAATACAAAAAAAAAAGAATTAAAGAAACAATGATTGTTCCTTTAATACTTTTTTTATGGACAGGGTGCTGCATTTTGGATGTCCGAATAGAGAATCTCCAAAACTAAGAGGTTTAACGAAAAACAAGTAAATAATATATTCTGAGGCTCATTTTTTGAGAAAATAATATTGGTTAAAACCGCATCTTGCTATCGTCTTTTGTTTTCGACTTAGACAAAAATTGACATTTTAGCGAAATCTAAAAAAAATCATATCTTCGTTATTATAGAAGATACAGATTTGAAATAAAGGCATTGTGAGGCACTTTTTTTACGTAGAATTTGATAATGCAGTTAACAATTTTTTTCACTCATTTGTTTAGCCGTAATAAGATAAACTTATATTTTCTTAAATGGAAATCATCTGGCTATGACATTTTTAAAAAGCTTGTTTTTTTTCTTACATAAAAAATATATACCTGTAACAGAATATTATAATACATTTTTAGCAAAAAATTATCTTTGATTTTTGTTCGCAGTTGGCCATGAAAAAATGTTGCATCTTCAACAAAAAGGATTTAAATTATATTATTTAACAAGTGTCACTAATGAAAGAGTTTTATAAGCCCAAAGTAATGAAAAAAATGCAAAATAATATGTAAATCAACTTATTGACCACTGATAATATTTCTTTGTTTTTACACAAGCTAACATTACCATTGTAACTTCTACGTAGAGTGTTGTAAAAAAGCCGTTTTAATTCTGTAATAAAATATATCTTGTTTGACAAAAAAATGACGATGTACTCGTAGCTATTCAAATACCCAATTTCCGTCTATGTGAAACGTTATCCTACCTCCATTAGACCCTCAAAAAAAATTTTTTTTTAATTGTGTTGACTGTTGACAATTTTTCCTATTTTTTCGTTCTAAGGCGCTTGCATATTTGTTCGACACTTCTAACGCATCGTATTTTTAAAATTTTTATAATTTTATCTTTTTTTCATCAATTTTACAGCTCACAAAACTTTTATTGATTACACAGGTCTACAGTGGTTTTGGTGTTTGTAAGACTTAAACTGTATTTGAATATGGTTGTTATGGTACTTTTAATGGCATACATATTTTTATAAATCTACGTGTATTTTTCGCGGTAAGAAAAGTGATAAAAAACTTGCTATATCGCATATTTTGTTATTTTATTTTATTATTTGACATATTATTTGTTCGTTTCACTTTTTGCAAACATTGTTCGGAACCCAAGATTTACCAACATCTTTAATTTCAAAGTTAAAATAAGCGAAGTACGCTTTGTGTATTGATTCCGATATGGGTTTTCGAAACTTCGTGGCTGTATATTCGCCATAAACATAACAAAAAGTATTCGGATCATTGATTTCGGCCCAACTCAAATACAATATTGAAGTAACTATTTTTTTTTAAACAAACACATTGGAATTCCGATTAATTCTAGGTTCTTTGTGAATACATTACGAAGAAAATTCCGGTTAATAAACCGGGATGTGAAATAAGTGATACTAAAGGAGATTTTTTTTTCAAAAATTGAGCAGTATTGCTTCTTGAATTTTTTTTTAAATTTAATAAATAACTAATGCAAAATTGTAAAAAAATGAAGAATGAAGATTAGACAATGTTCAGAAACGATATGTATAATTGACCCTTTAATTCTTTTGTAAAACTATGACAAAAAAAACGGTTTGATGGCTTTAAAATTTACAGGGCTATGGGGGAGAGGGGTAAATTAAGCTGTAAAAACACCTAAAAACATTAGTCTCTCTATCAATATTTGTGAATACGCGGTAGATTTACCAAAACAACGCAGAGAGTTAATTTTTTGTCTTTTCTTTAAATCAATGTTGAAGGTGAAAAAAAATATTTTCAAAAAATCGTAAAAGAGTGTGAAATATCGATGATCAAAATCGAAAGGATCCTTTTTCATTAAAAGTCAAATATCTCAGCGACAAATTGACGTAAAGAGAAATTAGAAAAAGGCACATTAAAGCTAAATAAACACGTTATCCGGCCTATTATTGATTTAACTAACAAAATTTCTCCAAGTCCGTGGATCAAAAACAGAAAAAATTGAAGAAGTGCATAATAACTGTAGCACAGAAAATTTTTACCAAATGATCTCAAAACTAGAAAATTAAAGCTCCCAAATGTTTTTTTTTTTTAATTTAGATACGATCATTTTTCGATGAGGTACAGCTTTTCAAAAATCACCAAAAAATTTAGGAAATATTTTTACCACTTACTCTCTCGTTTGTCCCTGTTGTCGTCCCTCCAAGACTCGTAGGCATTTGGTATGAGAGAACCATTACAGTCGAGAAACGACATGGACAATATTGCGCCTTTCAGCCGAAAAATCGTAACACCAACGAGTGATACGACGACAGGTTGCGACGATCTACTATCCGGATCTGGTGGAGTTATCAAGATGGTAAGCACTGATCCTAGACTTGTGCCGACCCATAAAGTTGGTATAAGCAATGTGGGTTCTGAAATATCAACTCTTGGCTTATGATTCGTTTCAACATGTCACAATTTATCACCTGTTTTTTTCGCGAAAGAGTCAGCAAAAATCAGACATTGTATTGCTTCAGAAGTGATGTTTTCTAGAGAGCTCATTGAACTTGATCTTGATCTTGAAAACGAACTATCCAGCTTGTCTACGCGGCCCATAAGCATATTTTACTATTAGTTAGGGAAATATAAGAGGGTTTTGGTGGGTAAAACAATGCACTACTCATGCGCTCACAAGCAGAATCATTCCAGAAAAAAATCGACGCCTTCACTTACAAAGAATCGCAATTGGACATACTCTCTCTTGTAAAAAAACAATTCTTCATGAATGAAGACCATAAATTACGTTATATAATTTTACAGCGTGTTTAAATTAAGATAATTTAATCATAAAATTTAAAATAATCTAGCAATTAAACATAATATTTTAAAATCTAACATTACAAAAAATTTTTAATAAAATTTATTAAAACTTTTAGTCAGATCAATTTTATTCTCTGTTACAGTATATACCACAAAAACTTTATTCGAATCAAGTGATTATTTGTAGTACATACAGTAATCCACAATAACCATGCATAAGCTTTAGCAATAGCAGTAATAAACACATGGAGTTAATTACTCCCGTTGATAATTACCTTTAAAATACCAACCACCATAACACAACAAACACAAAACACGTATGCATGCTGTCAGTACGAGTCCTAATCAAAAGAAACGATAAAATAATACTCAATAAGGCGTTACAAGGCCTTTTTGGCAAGTAGCATGGTTTAGAAAAAAGGATTAGTATTGCCAAATCGACTCAATAATTAAAGTTTCCAAGTTGCATTATTGAATTTTAGTCGATTTCGCACTGAACGATTTAGGATAGTAAAGTAAAATTTAATCTCCTTCATGAAACGGCACAGTTGCAAAAGTTGTTTATTTCGTGTTCGATTTCACACAAACAGTCGTATTATGTAAAAAGTGTTTCTGTTTGTTTGGGAGGGATTAATGTCTTTGATAAATGTAACGAATTGTTCGAAATCCGGAAACAGGCTAATCTACCTGCAATGAAGAATATTAATGAGAGGTTGATTAAATTTTACGTTTTGGTAAAGTCATTCGGAAGTTGGTGAGACTGCAGATCTTAAAGAGCGACATAAGCATGCCAACGGCGGTAAACATTTTTGTTTGTTTGACATAAAGTACAAAACAAATCAACTAAAAGGGAACAAAGGATAATCGAGAGTACGCTGTGAATAATAACAAGTATTGCGAGTCAGCACAAGGTACACAAAATCGTCATAAAGCAAAACAAAATTGACAATATAGGTAATCGGATTTTAAAACTCTGTTTCAACTTGGTATCTGTGGTCAAAACTGTGTAAAAACAATTTTGTGTTTTTCAATTTTCTTTTAAACATTTTTATTTGTGCAAATACGAGACACACACAAGAGACGAACACTTTAGAGAAGAAAGATTTTTTTTGTCAAAGAGAACAGTTGAGAACACAGACAAGTAAGACTTTAGATAAAGTACAGGTTTGGATAGTACGAGTCACCTGATGACATGCTGTAGTTAGAGAAAAAGAAATCGTTTGTATAAATCCAACAAAAAGTTGTGTCGGTAAAATAAAAACGTGACACTATCAGAAACAAATGAAGAGCGAAAGAGCTTTTCACAAATCTACGAGGTGAACATGAGACATCACTACTTCGTGTGAGTACAAAATCTACAACAAACTACACAAAATGTCAGTAAAAATGTACTGCTATTGCTTCCATCTAATCGTTTCATAACAGCTAAATTTTCTAACGAAACCAAACACAAATATTCTTGTAAATAAAATCGTGAGAAAAATAAACAAAAAAGATAGATCAAAAAAGCCCAGAGAGAATCAGATGTGTTTGCTAAGTTTAAAAATGAAAAAAATCCTAATGAAATATCCTAACTACAAGTTGAAGCTGTATTTGCAGAAATAACTTAAAGTTATCGGTTTCAACTACATGTTTAATGGACAAAAGTAAATGTTGATTCAAAATCTACCTGGTTGTCCTATGCAAAATGTTCATGAAATTAATAGTAAAACATTAATTCTTCATAAATTAGTTCTCATTACATGAACGCCAACAAACTGCTGCAACAGATGATTAAATTCTATTATCAGAGATTACCCACGAACCCACAATAAATCGTAAATGTTAACCCCCTGAAGGCTATTCGACCATTAAAATTGTGACAATTTTAAATTTACTTGCACACTAAAACTAAACAAACAACTTGGTTATTTGATTAAACTTGGTAACATGTTAGGTTTAACCGCAGTTGGAAGTTAGTTATTCGGAACAATTAACTTGATGGTTTATACATTCTGTTGCGTCAATTTGGTGAAATATGAAGGAAAAGAAAGACTGTGTTCTGGGCAGAAATAATAATCGACTCGTTAAAGAAAATGAGTCGAGTCGATTCGAATGTAAACTAAAAATACGAGAAAGAATAAAGAAAACAGAGCAGCATGTGAATAGTGAATAAATCTCTCTAATAAGTGACGTATTGTTAGTGAAGGCTGGTGACTGTACTACCAAAACTGCAATATTGTCGAGCGACCATCAGCTGTTGTCGCTGGGCAGTGGGCGCAGTGGGACAGGGAAAGTGGCTGCCACAGTCCTCTGAGTAGCTAGCCGTGGACAGGCACTTGTGTAGTTTGCGAGTACCTTGCGATCGAGAGCGACGGGGAGGATCTGGGCGCGCTCGACCTGTGCTGGAGACGGGACACGTCGAGGCCGGGCTGCACACGCCGTTTATCTATCCCAAACCCAGCACTTACTCTCCGAGACAAAATGAGAAAAGTGTTATCGCGAAACCGGCCAACGAATCTCGATTTTGGCCGATTCCGCGAGTCAAAAAAATCGTAGTAGTGAAGCATGAGTGAATCTAGACGAGTACAAGCAGCGTAGCTAAGCACTATAAAGGGCAGGGACTACGCTAGACTACGTCTCCTACCCAGTAGTACAGCGAGGCAGCTGCCGTCCTCGTCCTTCAACACAAACCAAAGCCACTGTGAACAAAGTCACAAACCCACCAATGCCCGCTGAAATAAAGCGTTAGTCATCAAATTGACAGACACGGTGGGACGACTGCTCTCAACAAAACAAGTAAAGCAACTCAGCAAATAAGCGACCAAATCAAACACAAACTGGTATCGTGGTGTAGGCTCGATCAGCTAAACTCTACCAAAAATCGGTACTCTTCTAACACTACTCACACATTCCTACCACTAAATGTCAATGTATTAAGAATCAGAGAGATATCGAGAGAAAAAACTATCCAGTAATGCAGGCATTTCTATCAAAATCGATGTGTTAATCACAGATTTGGGATATGGGAAGGTTTCAAAAAGAGGGCCACCGTCTAAGGGTGAGACAGAGTTGAAACTTACTGAAACGTCTCATCAGACTTCCGGTAAACGACGGCTGCGGGCTGACAACACTCTCCTCCCTGTCTCTTAGATCTTTGAGAGACTGAACCTCTGGTTTCTGAAATTTGATATTTGGTACAGATAACAGTCTTTGGTCTCTCTTATCAGGAATCTTTTTCTTTACGTGCCGAGGTGGTCTCACGGGACATCCATCTTCATCCACCAATTCCAAATTATCAGGCCTCATAGCAAACCCGACTTTTCTGCTATTCCCGATTTCGTACTGAGTCCCAACCGAACCCACCAGAAAAGGTGTATCACTGTCCTCCCCCGGCGAAAACTGTATTTCAGCTGGAAATTCCTCGTATACTTCTTTTTGGTCCTCTTTACTAAGATTTAACAACGTCAAATCGATAACGCTTTGATTGTCAATGACTGTATTTTCATCGGACTCCGGCGACGATTTGATATCGTCTAGATTGTCTGGTTCGGGCGAAACGTCTGAATAAAAAATCGAATTCCTTTTCTCTTTCAACGGATTCTTGATCTTAATATCGACTTTTGATAGTTGTCTCTTAAGATTAAAACCTTTCCATGTGGAGGATTTTCGGCGCGTGGCGGCTTGAGGGATGGGGACGGCTTTTTCCTCCTCCACGGCTTCGGAAGCGTGTTCGACAGGGGTGGGGCAGGGGCACAAGGAATAGGGACTTTCCGGGGATCTTCCCATCTACAGGCATGCACAGGCCCGGGTAAACAGAAAGCAGAGGTTCTCATCAGCAACTTATGGTAAACAGCAAAATAGGATATAACTGTTAAGGTGCTGTCAAATGGCAGTGCAATCACGCCTATAGCTCAGAGAAAACTAACATTTCCTGACGCATGTACTGTAGTAACTGCACGCTTTCTTAAACAGCAATTCTGTATGATTTATTTTAGATGGTGTGAAGGAAGAAATGTGAAAGAATTCGTACCGTCATGCTAACGATTTGTCCGTGATGATGGTACTGATTCGGTTTTTGTACAACTAACCTGGTCTATGCTAGGGCTACGAGGTTGTCTTTCGTCCATGTTTACCGGTAGGATATCGCTGGCGATTCCTCCTCTTTTCGGACTCCTGGGGACTCTGGAATATGGATCTTGGGCGCCGTACAGGTCGGGACTGCCGACGTTTAAAAGGCAAACTTTCTGTTCTATATCTATTATCACAATTCCCGCTTCGTTACCATAAGCCATCCTGCAAAAAACATCAATTAACTGCTCGACTGTAACTTTATAATAGCCTTTGTGTTCCTACTACGTCCATAAATCTTTTAAAGAGCTTTGATACAATAAACTTACAGTCCGTATGAACTATTTATAGTAAGAGCAGTAATATGGCTCGGAGGTTCTCCATTGTTCCAAGGAGTTAAACAAACTAATTGTGCTTGAAAACCGGGAAGTTTCTTTTGGATACCAGCACGAACCTTAAGCGTCGGTGTATCCTGTAATTCACTCTCGTCAGTCCACCTAATCGTTTGAAACCCCTTTTAATACTTTTTTATTGTCGAAATCCAACATATCCGATCCCGCCGATCCGGGTCCGGAAAATTGGCAATCCGGCGAAATCTCCCCTTCCTCAGGAACTTCGTAAACTATAGGAATCTCCAATACCTGCAATTTAGAATGCAAATCATCGTCATTTCATCTAATCACACGTACAGTAACTTCGTCGTTACTCTCCGACTTCTTATACGTGAACAAAATCACGTGACTAGACGCCCCAGCGACACAAAGCTTCCTCGATTCGGGACACAACGAAATAATTTCAATAGCAAAAGGATCCTCCTCTTTATCCAACGATCTCGCTCTTTGTTTCTCGAAAATTTTCGCCGTTTTCAACTTGTACAAGACCTGAAGCGTGCCGGCGCTGGCATCCCAAAACTTTATGCTGCCGTCGGCGTGCCTGAAATTGTCGCTGTCAATTAATATAAAACGAGATGTCGACGAGTACCCTGTGAGGATAATTTCGCTGTAGCTGCAAGACTGCGCCGACCACGAACCGCCGCTAATCGGCCAGTCCATCTCGGAGAAACCTTGTCTTTTACTACCGCTCGCCCTGCCTACTGAGTAAAACGCCGGGATTAAATCGGCAGGACAATCCGCTAAGTAACTGCAACACGTCACGGGAGATTCATGAATATCCATGGGATACGGATTCTCTAAACAAGGAAATCCAGCCGTCTGTAAATCCATCACCACTAAGTCGTTCTGTAGTAAAGCTATTATTGCGTAAGGTTCCTGCAGTTCTGCAAAAAATACTCGTCTTCTACCTCGTTACAAAAACAGTTTTTTCGTACCATTACTATAGAAAGATTCGCACAAAGTAATAAAATCAATAACATTACTCTCCATTTCTAATACAGTAGTAGTTTTATTATGTACAACAGTTATGCTAGGTGTCCTGCCGGCTTGGTCGTAGGGCATTCCACCCGAAAATATCACATATGCTTCTCTAAAACAAAATCATTGGACATGGAGCACAAACAAAAAATTAGATAGAAATAAATGAGTTTTCCGCTGATTGCGTCCAACAATCTAAACCTCTTTTCTTAATAATTTTCCATAATATTAACCTAATAGTATTATTTACAAAATAACTAATTTAAAAATTAAGCACTCGTTTTTAAGCAAGACGTTTTTGTGAAAAAAATACGGATAGAAATACAACAATGAAGCAACGATTATTTTGTGAATGTTTCATTTATGTTTCGTTTGTGTTCCTTCAAAAAATTAAAAAGAACACAACTGAGACACTTTAATACAACATTTTAAGTAAGTCGCACGAAAGCGGAAGCAATATTTGTTATTTCGCTTTCATTCAAATCGCGAATACTTGAAGAAATAAATGTTTAACAAAATTTAATTAGAAAATCTATTTGTATTTGTATGAATAGTGGTTTTTGAGAAACGATCAGCGGAAAAAGGTTCAAAATTACCCCGTCCTTGATGACTTCCATTCAACCTTATTTATGGGTTTACATTGTTCCGCCTTGCCATCTTTGTTAACTTTCGCTGCAAACGAAATACTGAATATGATATTCTTTGTAAGGATATAAAAACGAACCATGAGGCTGCGATATACAAAGATATTTCGTTCTATCTTTAATACTCCACGTTGTTAATGTTCCATCGGCATGCGAACACATGAACTGTTTGCCTTCATGGTGCCACGCTACACTTTTTAATTCGGAAGTTTGCCATCTCATTTCAGCCGCTTTATTCCTCAAGTCCCAAAGAACAATCTGACCGCTTTCATAACCTACCAATAACTGAGAACATCAAGGAGTGTATTATTCGTTTTTTGATAAAATCGTACACCTTTTACCTTACTAGCATCTAAAGGGTTATCACTTAAATGGACTAGAGCGCCGGGATGAGTCTTTCGAGAACTGGAATAAATTTTTAATTATTGGCGAGTTCCGATACTAATTCAATCCAAGGTTACAGCCGAAGTTTTCTACTAAATACATTATTAATTTCATATCATGTTTCGCTCTGTTAATAATTTAGATTCTATCAGAGAGAACATCCTGCATAAGAAAATTTCGACTGCAATGCTTCCTCTCACAGGAAATTATTCGTAGCACACTCACACTTCTATCGCTTTGTTCCAGTTAATGATGTATCCCGACAAAACGAAGCTTTCTATGTGGACCACATGGACATTACCGCGTTCAGTTCCCACGTAAAGCCATTTAGATTGTAATGGCAGATGCATGCAGGTAATCCTGAATCAAACAATCCCATTACTTTTACCAACATTTTAATCCATTTCGTTAGAAAGCAAAAAAGTGTCGGACAAACTTTTGCTTTTGCTTTTAAAGTTATCACCAAGAAAGTAATCTTTCAAGAACACAAGAATTTCTGTTATATTTTGAGGATTTACGACGTCGAATCTAAATGCAAATTCGAATTATTAAGGATAATGCAACTTCAGGGTTTGCTCTTGTTAGAGGTACAATCATCTTCATATAGAAGCAGGAGATAATTCCCTTTAATTTATTGATGTAGTCTTAAAGTGAAATTATTGTAAGCGAAAGATTAAATTTCGATTAGCAACGAAGAGGGAGACGCACAAACCTTCAGGCATTATCATCAATTCTGTTTAAATTTAGTTAATTCCTCCAAATGCTGTTTAATATTAAATCTATATGTACAAAGCAGTATTATTTATCGTTCGAGTGATTTACATTTTGAACAAAGTTAAACACTGAAAAGGCTTCAGCACTAAGTATAAAAAATCCATGTTAAAAAGAAATTTGCTTTATAAATTGTTCTCCGCTAGGGAACGTCAAAAACGCCTTTAAAACTTAGAGTGTTAATTGTAAATTATATCTAAATGTTTAAAAATATCTTTCTTTCTTTATTGAAATGAACAAGATATTTCTTAAAAACTGCTCAATATTTTTTTCTAAACCAATGCTTTTAACAAAAATTACACAAACCTAAATATTCTTTGAGAAGGTTTGGGATCAATTATGAAAAAAATTACAACAATTTAAAACACTTGTTGCGTAACAACGAAAAGAATGTAAAGGCAAGAAAACTTCGACAACCCCTTAGACTCGAGATTTTTATCCAGGAAGTTAAATAAACGAAGGGAGAAAATTCGAAGCTACAGTGGCATCCGTTTTTGTACAAATTATAATTTATTTTCTCAAATAAGAAAAACAGTGCTTTCGCAAGCAAGCATTTAAAACTTTAAGCTTTATTGTTAGGATGTCATTTACAGTTTTCCTTTAATTTTGCACTCAAAAAAAAAGATCTAAAGAAAATGCTGGATCTGAATTTCTAAGATATTTCGGAATTAGGAACTTGTGTGCCAATTTATCTTGATAAAAACAAATTTTTAATTGAAGAAACTTTTATATAAAATTTACAGAAACGTTCCAAAAGCATTTATCTCGAAATAAATTTGTTTCTTTGGTTAGATCTGTAAAACTAAAAAATACTTAAAATGGTTTCTACTTTTTTCAAATTCCTCACTTTATTTTCATTAGTTTCAAAACAAATCACTACCTAATAAACTGTCTTCATTGTTTCATTAGTTTTATCGCTTAATATAAGTATTGTTGACAATATTTTATTACACAAAACAAAATTAGTGATGCGTTAGATAACAATACTTGCTATACAGGGTGTCAATTTTAAAACTTGCAATTGCCAATATCTCTAGAACTTAAAAAGTTATTGAGAATCACTTAAAACCGTTTCGGTAGTTTTTAGGGGGAATTAAAATGGCATGGTAAGTGACGCTCTTTCACCCACCCTTCAAGCCACAGCCACCTTAAGTTGAAAATTTTTAATGACACGACCCTACTTGCGATACATCGTTGGAAAGCCCATAACAAGCGCTTTTCAAAAATGTCATACAACAGCCTATTTGGTAAAGTTATTTTTCCAATTATTCAAAAACGAAGACGTTAAATTTTCATTTTTTTACTATATTCAAGGGTGGGTGGAGGTGTGTCACTTATCATGTCATTTTAATTCCCCCTAGGACCCACCAAAACGGTTTTGAGTGATTATTAATAACTTTTTCAGTTGAGAGAAATTGCCGATTGCAAGTTTTAAAATTGACACAGTGTATAAGCACATCCACTATTTTTCAATTAACAAAAATTTGATAAATAAGATTCCTTCTTATGTTTTCAATAGCTTAAACACCCATTCTTGCATTTAATTGTAAAAAATCCAATTAGACAGCAATGGGAAAATTACTAAATTCTAGAATTACTTGTCTGGAATACAAAAAAAGTCCTCAAAAATCGTACAAAAGTCAATCAAATGGGTCAATGTAAAAGAAAATTGTATTGAATTATAAGGTAAAATGTTTTTAAAGAAAATGTTTCTAAGAAATAATTTATTTAATGGAAGAATGTCATCCTAGATAATCCAATTTGGATGTTATTTGCTACGTACTGTCTCCTAGCATTAAAAAAATTAAAACATTGTAACTGATTAGAGAAAATCGTCCTAGACCTGATTATTTGTTTGCTTACCTAAATCTGTTTTTAAAGTAAATTAGTTCTTAAATAATTAATTATTAATTATTAATTAATAATTCTTAAAGAATTAATTAACTAGATAGGAACACTAATTTAACATAGGTTAAAGGTTTTGTACGAGTTTAAATAATAATAATGTGACTTTTGAAAGTTGGTATTTTTCTCGTTAAAACTTGCGAGACCGTGAAAAATTAATACCCACTTTTCCTTTTGAAACTTGAGGCTCTGAACAATCTGCGGAACTTTCTGCCTGAAATTCCAGAGGTGTAGAGAATCGTCTGCTGTTGCGGAAACTAAAGCTCCTTCATTAACAAGAAACTGTAAATGAAGGACGGCTGAAGACCCTGGAGAACCATCGATGTCGTGTCGGACGTGAATGTCGACGCCTGGTTGGCCGAGTCTAATACTAGTTAAGGTGTGTACCTTCCAAAATTCAATATTCGGATAAGATCAGATAACTCGGACACGCGTCCAGAGATCGATTAGCATGATCCTTATTAACACAAGGCTAGCTTTAATAGCGAACGACACGACAACATAAATTCCACCCTTCAAGATTTTACGTAAATGTCGGCAAGACTCGAATTAAATTATTCTGGAAGGAGTTTTAAACTCCGGGTAGAAAATCATCGAGAGTGGAGCTTTAACGGGCTCGATGCTATCCAACAAGTTATCGCAAAACATTCATCTCTTTGATATTCAATGTGAAAATTGTGCAAAGCAAATAGACAGCTTTGGCGGTGCTCCCTTTCGGTTACATGAAAACGGACGAGATACGATTCGTCCAATAAAAACATAATTTTAAAGGGATCCGACTGTATAAAATTTTTTAACGCAATAACACGTTTTTTTTACAACACTAACAAATGGTACGGTCGTTTTCTCGTTTTAATTAACTTGTAAAGTCGTATAGGAGAATAACTTGGTACTGATCGATATCTTGACAGGAAAATTTTATGAGGAAAAGCGTTTCTTCTAGATCGGCATTGTTGACTCCACAAATTACAAGACACGAAAAATCTATTTTGGAACCTTTCGACAACCCCACACCTGGCTGATATTTCAATGTTTTTTCTTTATGAATGTTACATCAAAAGCTACAAAACAAAATAAATAAATAATTGACAAAAATCGCCCCAATTATTGTTCGAGAATAGAAGTTATAAGAAAGTCTATTTTAACTATTACAATAACATCTCTCAAACCAAATCGTGTTTATAAATCCTTCCTGGATTTAAAGTTTTCCGATATGAATTCAATGCAAGTTTTTATGGACTTTCTCCTTTATTCTTGTTTTGTCCCAATTCCGACGTCTTTTATCGAAAATGCATTAAATATGACATCTAAAACCTTTGCAGCCGTCGATTTATGCGGAAAAATTTATTAAACTTTTTATGGTTAACGTTCATTTGACGTCTATTAACAGACCAGGAATGTCGTAATTACGTTAATAAACCCGAGCAGTTGCAATTATATTACAACAGTGTCACATTCTGTTCCAAACTACCTAGAGTTCGAGGTCCGTTATTGCCTGGCATTAACCACTTAATGACATTCACCACCAAAAACTGAAGATGTCATCTGCAGACGCAACTGACTTGTATATGGGTTTTATCAGGTTTGAAACGGGCTCATTCAATCTTTAATTAGCACGCTGCTCAACTTTGTGACACAAATTAAGATAAACAATTTTAGAAAATGTTAAAAAAAATGCAATTAATTTAAATTTTACACTGCAGACGTAAAAATATTTTTATGAAACGTAAAGTTCAAACCGTTTTTATTTAAAATGACAATTCCTTTTCACTTCTTATTCGTTTTTGTTTATAATTCATTACTAGTGTTTTAAAAGACAAATGTTTTGAGTGTTTCTGATACAAGAACTCCCGTTGGATACCAGGATAAAAAACACAAACCTCTCCTACTAATTTTGTTTATTTAATTATTTATTAAAATTGTAAACACCGGTATCGATGAAAGTAAACTATTAATTATGTTTCAGTTATCATTAATTTTAAATAGTTACATAAATATTTACATTCATTTATTGTTTAATTTATGACAAAAATGGTGGATGCGCCGGGATATTTACTATTTTGTAATTATTTAGCAACAAATATTTTACCATATAAATTCCAAAAATTACATACTAATACAATAATTTTAATAAACGTAGGATGTCTTCTTCAAAATAAAAACACGTTTAACAATATTCAAAAATCCGTTAAAATATATTTATCTTAAAACTAAGATGTTTAAACTTTACACTTACTAGTCACTAAAAAGAAAAGTAAACTAATTTCTTCTTTTCTTGATTGCAGTTTGTTTTAAATGAATAAAAAACAACACGATTTTACAATTAAATGTTGCAAGATCAAAAAATGTAAATGTAAAATGTAAATACAGGGTGTGGCAGAACACGCGCCCCAAAGAAAAATGCCACATAAGGTAAGATACCAGGAACATGGAAAGAATGTTAAAAAAAATATCTATAAAAATTTTGAAGTTATGAGAGTTTAAATTTTGCACTTTGACGCTATTTATTTCTGTTGGAAAAATAATTTTCCAAGTTTTTTTTTGCTACAGGCAATGTTTCCTAAATTGCAACTCTGTTTAATGTTATTTGTGGCTTTTATTGGCAAAATTTTTGTACCTTTACTACATAATTGTAAAAAAACATATACAAAATTATTAGTATCATTAAATAGACATAAAAAAATGTCAAACGTCAAACATTTTTTCCATGTTCCTGGTATCTTATCTTGCTTGATTTGTTTCTCTGAGGCGCAAATTCTGGCGCACCTGTATAGTTACAAACATTCACAAATACCAAAGTGTAAATTGTAACTAATCCACATTCCTAAATTTTCAAATCACAAGTATTTATAAAAATGTTACGTTTTTTCCCTAATAATGAAAAAAATTAAGTGTCAAAAACCCTACACACAAAAAAGTGACCAGTGTCATGATTTGATTTAATATTATCACCTAATATGACCAAAAATATTGATTTTGCAAATCCCAAAAGCAAGCGGTTTTAAGTCAATGAGATGTTTATGGTTCCTAATTATCTGTTAAAAGTCCTAATCAAAACAAAACTTATTTTGTCATACAATAAACTAACAACAATGAGAAAGACGAGGTAAATAAATTTAATTTTAAAAAATCTTCACTTTTGGCACATGTTGCAAGTTGTCTCAACCACTAAATGTAATAAACGCAAACTTTATTTAAATTTCAATAAGTTTCTGTTAAAGATGCATTTCGTGCATCTATGAGAAGACGAAAAAATATATTTCGTTTTCATTCTGCCGTTACAATACACAACAGGATAGATTTTAATAATAGTCTACCAATCATTCAGGTTCGATCCGGAATGATTGGTAGACTATTAGACTTCATTTTGGTAAGTCTTAAAATAATTTTTTCTCTTCACAAATGCCAAATTAATTGCACAGCGCAAATATATTTAAAAAAAAATAAAAAAAGAGTACAAAAAGACTCTAATATAACATAAGTAGTTACAAAATAAAATGTTTCTAAACTCTCATTACTGAATACCAAACAACACATAATGTTTATATCCCCGTGTCGCCACTAAATAAAATATCAACTTATTATTCTTCAATTGAGGTGTAGCGTAACAATCTGATGCTCCTCTATTATTTACGACAATTTGCACAGTAATAAAGTGGCTTTTAACTTGAATGCATTTTAACTAAAATACTTGTCTCTCTGCCAATGACTCATTAGAGGACACGTAGGGAGTATTCAACTGGTTATGTCGTTTGGATAATCCACGAGCAACAACTACGATTACTTCCGCCCCCAGACTAATCAGCAACAGTGGAAGGATACCATTCGGTGTTACGTTACTGTAAATTATTTCAACGCATCAACCGGAAACAAAAAATTTTCACCTTTGAAACAACAATAGATATTTATCTTAATTTTGTTTTATTCGTTACGTGAAGGTTACAAATTAAATTAGCCAATCATTCAGTTTCTCTTTCTGCGTTGTTTTATGGTTCGCATAGCGACTTGGACAGTGGCAGCTGTGATTTATTATAGGGTCAAAGTGGTGGCAACTGCAAAAGAATATTTAACATTCTGGGAGAATGTAGAGTTGCGAGAAACATTTTAGTTGAATAGATGGTGGAAGCTTGTCTATTTAGGTGTGTTATCACAGTTTATGGGCTATAATGTTGTATTAATTCCGTTAAATGGCGTTTCTATGAGGACATGCATATTTGACCGGAAGTTCATCAAAAGCGACAATCTACCCTGGACCAGAAAACCAATACCACATTTACATTTCAAATTTGAATAAACCACCAAATCCACAGCAAAGAATCACCTCATTGTGTTTATTCATGCATGACGTTCACTGTCCAGTTTTCAATCCGAAATTGGAAATGATCTTTTGTTTGCTAGAATAATGTTTGCAACATTTCATTCCATCAAAATTTTATCAAAAAGAGGAAATAAATATGTTGCATTCTGAAATTAAAATTGCAACAATGAGCACTAATAAATAATTAAAAGAAAGATCAATAATCAAAAGTATTTTGCATCGATGTTAAGGTTCATTGCTCAAAAACGTCAATCTCACAGTTTTCATAATCAGGCTCGTTTGTAAAGCTACAGATTAAAAAGATTTAACTTCTGTTTTTGAAATATCAATTGTAAATTTACAGTGTTGACTTTAATTTCACGAACGCATTTTAAAACCTCCTCCACAATAAAATTTATGTATATTCCTGCAAATACATCTACACATCCTTTAATCTATTTCCTGGCCAAAACACGTTTCAAATTAGCATAATCTATATCCCCGAGGATAGAGAAATCCCCGATTTGTTGTCCCAAAAGGTCAAAGCGCGATGTGTCACATCAATAAGACTGTCATGTGATGGGCAAAATGTGACTTTACATTGCTATTGAGTACTATTGTGAAATGTAACTGCCAGGTGCTGCTTAATGTTGCGATAAAAAAAAAATACGTCTTGTGAGCAAGAAGCAAAATCCTACAAGCATGAGCTCGAAATTTGTACAAAAACCGATGTTTTTTTCCGGAGAAATAGTATTTGTCAATTAGAGAAATTGCACACGAGATAGCTGAGTTTAATGTTTTTGTGAAAATGAGCACTTTACAAGTCGACAAACTCGGGGTTTCATTACATTTGGATAGCATTTAGGAAAAATGGTATTTATTCTGATTTATGTTGAAAGCACAAAATTCAAATGTTTGTCTTAAGAAAATCGAACAAAAACAAAAAAAATTATATTCCGTTAGGATAAAACCACTAAACAAGGATACCTAAAATATGTAAAATTTTCAAATATCAAAAACGGAAAGAATTGAATGTGTCTGTTCACATATTTAAAAAAGATTTTGTG